GCTCTACTAAGGAAATCACATCAGGCTTAGAAATAGATAGTCCTATTTTTAAGAAAAAATAATAAGACATATCATGCTGTTCCTGAATTCAAACTCAGTCAAGAAAACAGGCAACTACATGAAGGACAAGATTTAAAGGTACGAAGAATGGAGAAGACAAAGATATCGCAAAGAGCTGCCCATCTCCTATACAGCACAAAGGAACTCTGTATGAAATAGAAATACATCCAGAAAATTGAAAGATACACCTAAAATTCACAAGTTATTTGGGGATAGATACCCTTACCTAGTAAGACAAGGTTGCTATAGTTTTCCATCATCACATCTCTGTACAAATCCCTCTGAGCAGGGTTCAGATAGTCCCACTCCTCCTGAGAGAAGTCTACAGCTACATCCCTGAAAGTCAGCAACCACTGAAATGACAAAACCATGTAGTACTGCTGAAATTAAAAGAAATGTTTTTAAGATGAAAGAAGAGATAGAAAAGGATACTGAGGGATATAGACAATGCACCGAGCATCCTTGGGACAGGCCAAGGATGTAGCAGGGTAAAAAACTTAGTATAAATAGAATAAAGTACCTCCATCTTCTTGAATATTCCTGTCGCTGCAGACAACCTTCTTCATATAATGACACATTCCAATTATCACATGGCTAGGGCTAAGACTGAAAGAAACACAATTATTTGTAGTTTCCCAAAGTAATGAAATAGAGTACAAAAATACTCAGCAACCTGTAAGCCTGGCACATTACTATTTATTTTAATGATCATCCGTGACTTACCAATATTTTTAATGTGGAAATTTTCAAACACATGGCAAAGTTGAAAGGACTGTATAGAATAAACCTGATGTGCTAATTACTACTTACAATAAACTCCTAAATATGAGCTCCTCTCTTCACTTCTCACCTATTAAAGGAAGAGATAATCTTCCTAAAATATTTACCAAACATAAAGTTCACATAAGAGAATTTTAATTAAAATACAGACTAAATACTAAAAATCTTTATTGTTAGATAATATAAAAGCATTTTTCCTTATAATGCAGATTCTTTAATAAACTTTTTTGAAATGGCTGTATCTTTCATTTTAGGAAGGCGAGACATAACCATTCCATTATTTTATATATTTAGCTTGAACAAGATCTCTGAGTTCCTTTACAGCTTTGAAAGTCAACAATTCTCAAAAACTTATGCATCTGGCTAATTTTACTTGTTAAAAATGTCAAAACTAAAGAAAACCTAATAGTATATTGTTTAGAATATATAGTAAAACAATTACGAAAAACAAGAAAATAACAACTACAAAATTTTCTTTATTAACAGGTTACCCTTTCAGAGGGAGGGGTGGGTACAGAAGTATCTTAACTAGTCCTTCCTACTCTAGGTGGTAGGTACATGAGTGTTTTACTACTCTTTTTAAATATGAAATACTTCATGCCTTTTTTTAAAGATGGAACTCAAAAATTAAAGAAAAATAAACAGGCTTGTGAAGATCAATTATCCCATTTCATTAAACCACAATTCTGATAAAGGAGGCTCTAGAATTTCCCTCAATGGAATATATTTAGGCTCCATCATAGAGCACTGCACGCAAATGTGAACAATGCTAGAGAAAAGTGGGACACTAAGAAAAGTGATGGTGCTGCTGGGCACCACCGCTCATTTCCTGATTGAATGTAAGGATATGGGATGGGTTCATGAATGGAGCTTAGCTGAGCAAGGAAGTTTCTACATAAAGAAAATAAATGTTCGTGCAAATGAAAAAAAGATACTATATTTCAATAATGTAAATAAGTCATGGTGATGTAATGTACAGCATGGTGACTAAAGTTAAAATACTGCATCGTGGATGGAAGCAGCATGGTAATATGAGGAGACCGCCAGGTCTCTCCCCTTGAACTTAAAACAAGTTGGACAGCTATAATTCAACAAAGGATTCCCTGTTCAACACACAACCATATCTGAGAGATCCACACATTGAGACATCCAGAGCAAACAGGGCAGAAAAGAATGGAGTGGGAGAGGGGGAATACAAAGACAGAACCACAGACACAGTCCAGAACTCATACAGCCCAAGCAGAGGCAACAGCAGTGAAGGGTAGAGGTGCAACCCCCATTAGGCAAACGAGAGGGGGCAGGGACAGCAATTGTACGTGGATGGCTGGTACACATTGAAGCTGGGTCCAGGGTCGGGGCAGAGCAGCAGTGCAAAGAGTCACAACATTCCACAGCCTCACATCATCAAACAAAGGATTCTGCAGATGCAGGTACTTGTCCACCCTGTGGCTCACACAGAAGTAAAATCTTCCCTTGGGAGATCAAGAAAGAGGTGAAAAAAACTTTCCAGGCTAACTGGTCTGTACTAATTGTGGCAAACCCACTGGAGAAAACAGAACTGTAGATGCAGAAACCCACTTCCCTTCACCCACCCCTCTCCCACCCATAGTGGTGCGGCCTGGCACAGGCAGCTGGGTCAACTCAGACACAGTGGCTCTGCCAGAGACTTCTTGCTACAGGAAGGCGGGGCCAGGAACACAAAGGAAACCTATAGCCCGCCACTTCCAATCCACAGGAGAGGTACCCTGAAACTGAGATGACAGGGACACAAAGAGGATGCCCATCTCCTCACAGAATACAGGGCATTTTCTGCAGCTGAGGCAACACCAGCCCACAGATTCTGGAAGCCCCAGCAGTGCAAGTAGGAGAAAATAAAAACTTGCACTTTAGTACCACGCTTTACTTATCAACATCTTAAAATAGTGACATGTCAAATACTTTTTTAAAAAGCAGATTTCATTCCCATAAATGCCTAGGCAGAGAGATAACCCATCAAATATCATGAATAATCAAAGTAATAAGGTGGCTCAAAAAGAAAATTAAAAATCTCCAGAAAATAAACTTAAAGACATGGAAATACGTGATTTAAATGACAGAGAATTCAAGATTGCAGTTCTGAAAAAAATCTCAAAGAAATACAAGAAAACTCAGAAAGGCAGTTTAATGAACTCAGAAATAAAATCAACAAACAAAAGGAGTACTTTAACAAATTACTGAAACTATTAAAAAGAACAAAACAAATTCTGGAGATGAAGAACTCAATAAAGAAATGAAGACTGAACTAGCGAGCTTAAGAAATAGAGCAAACAAGATAGAGGAAAGAATTAGTCATATCAAAGGTAGAAATCTAGAAATGACTCAGATGGAAAAAGTGAGAGATTTGAGAGTAAAAAAAAATGAAAGAACTCTACAAGAACTATCTGACTCTATCAGAAAGATCAATATAAGAATAATGAGTATACCAGAAGATAAAGAGAGGGAGAAGGAAACAGAGAGCCTATTCAAACAAATAGTTGATGAGAACTTCCCATGGAGAGAACTGGATGCTTGAATCCAAGAATCTAACAGAACACGTACTTATCTCAATGCAAAAAGGCCTTCTTAAAGGCACATTTATTAAAACTGTCACAATTAATGACAAAGAAAGAATTCTCAAGCAGCCAGGGAAAAGAAGACAGTAAACTATAAAGGAAACCCCATTAGATTATCATCAGATATTTCAGCAGAAACCCTACAAGCTAGGAGACAGTGGAATCAAATATTAAAATAACTAAAAAGGAAATCATCGGCCTAAAATAATTTAACCAGAAAAGTTATTCTTTATATGAAGCAGAAACGAGCTTTTTTAGACATACGGAAGCTAAGGGAATTGACCACCAGAAGCCCTGCCTTACAATAAATACTTAAAGGTGCTCTTCCACCTAAAACAAAAAGACAAAAGGATACAATGCTACGAGTAAGATGACTAACAGACAAGCAATTGCAATCCTAGTTCACGATAAAGTATAAAACACTTAAATATAATACAAAGGTTAAAAGGAGCAAGAACACTTTTTAAAAAAGACAATAGCTACTGCAATTTGTAAATGAACACATAACAGAAAATGGAATAGCTTGTGATAACAAAAACACAAAAAAGAACAGGTAAAAAGCACATGCATAGCTGAATGGAGATAAGATGCAATCAGAAGAAAAAGGACCACTGTATAGATGAAATTTTATTTTACATAAACCTAATGGTAACCACAAGAAAAAAAATCTAATAAGACACTGAAACATAAAAAACATAAAAATAAAAATAAAAATAAATGGAGGAAAACATCGTAGAATACCACCAAACTAAAATAACAGAAACACAAGGGAAAAGAAACAATGGAGACACAGGACTACCAGAAAACATGACTAAAGAAAAAAATGACTATAGAAAATCCTCATACGTCAATAATCACCCTAAATGAAAATAGACTTAATTCACCAATTAAATGGTGCAGAATAACAGGATGGATCACAAAACAAAACCCAACCATATGCTCCCTTCAAGAGATACATCTCAGCTGCAATGACAAATACAGACTCAAAATGAAAGGGTGGAAAACAATACTCCAAGCAAATGGAATCCAGAGAAAAGCAGGTGTAGCTGTACTTATATCTGATGAAACAGACGTCAAGATAAAAAAGGTAATGAGAGACAAAGACGGACACTTCATAATGAAAAAGGAAGACGTAACACATATTAATATATATATATACACCTAATCTGAGAGCACCAAAATATATAAAGCAACTATTAACAAAACTACAGGGAGAAACTGACAAAAACAAATATATTAGAGAACCTAAATATCCCATTGATACCAATGGATAGATCATCCAAACAGAAAATCAATAAGGAAATATAGGCCTTAAATGACATGTTAGACCAAATGGACTAATATCTGTAACCGATATTTACAGAGCTTTTCATCCCAGAACACCAAAATATATATTCTTCTCTAGTGCACATGAACATTCTCAAAAACCATGTGCTAGGACACAAAACTAGCCTTATCAAATTTTAGAAGACTGAAATCATATCAAGCATATTTGCCGAACACAGCAATTTGAAACTAAAAATTAAATGCAGAAAGAAAGCTGGAAAAACCACAAATGAGTGGAGATTAAATAACATGCTACTAAATGACATCAAAAAATACATAGAGACAAATGAGAATGACAATATGACATCAAAATTTGGGGGATACGGCAAAAGGGTTAATAAGATGGTAGTTTATATCATTACAGGCCTACCTCCAGAAACAAGAAAATCTCAAATAAATGACTTAACATTTCACCTAAAGAACTAGAAAAAGAATAAACAAAGCCCCAAGTCAGTAGGAGAAAGAAAATAATAAAAATTAGAGCAGAATTAAATAAAATAGAAAACAAAAAGACAACAGAAAAAATTAACACGAGAACTGGTTCTTTGAAAAAAAAAAATTGACAAACCTCTGGCTAGAATCACTAAGAAAAAAAAGAGAAAAGACTCAAATGAACAAAATGAGAAATGAAAGAGAAGTTAAATGGATACCACAAAAATACGTAGGGCTATACAAGATCATTATGAAAGGCTATATGCTACCAAATTTGATAACGTAGAAAAAATACACAAGTTCTTAGGAATATGTAACCTTCTTAGACTAAACCATGAAAAAATTACATAATCTAAATAGACTGATCAACAGTAAGGAAATTAAGTCATCAAAAACTATCCAAAAAGTAAAAGTCCAGGACCAGATGGCTTCGACTAGTGAATTCTTCCAAACATTCAAATAACATTTAATATCATT